AATATCCTTCCCCCAAACAGAGAGAAAGTTGTGCTCCCAAGGAAATTCTGGTTTGAAAAAGTAACAGAAGATGCATTTATTGTATTTCCACATAAAACTCTGTGTGTGCCTGGCTGTCACAATGGGCTTCAGACATGAACCTTGGTCAGACATGAACCTTGTGAATTAGCCTTGTGTATTTTCTGGGAAAGGGCCTTTTGAGTACATTCTTTCCTCATTCCACTTTGCTGTTTGACTGAGGACAAAGCAGTCTTGGACATTTCCACAGCTAGCAAGATGCAGATGCAGTCTCTCTGTGAAATGGGTGGTGGTCTCAGTCTAGTTGCAACGGATCACATTGCTGATCTTATCTCTACATTTGTCACAAATTGGTACCTGTGTTTATCAGTCTCTGCAGTGAGGAAAAGGGCATGGAGAATGACGAGGTATCCCCTCCAGCGCCTGACTGAGGCCCACCGATGGACCTTGTTGAGGGAATCTTGCGCTGTTGTTGCCCATGCTGGTTAGATGGAAGACTTCAACCATCAGAGCTGTCATTCTAACCTCTCTCCCATGTAGTTCACGCAAAAATGATAGCATTGCCCAATTTGATTTAAGGGAAGGAGGGTCAGAATTCAGTATAGGTGTGTCCTTTAAAAACACCTCTAATTTTATTAGTCACCATGTGTGGGGAGGGAAATGCCAACACACAGAGTTGCTAATTGTTTTGCTCTGAGTCAGAGACATTGGTGTGGCCCTGTTTATTAGGAGTCGTTTCCTAAATTTGCACTGGGTGTGCACCAAAAGCCGATGAGCAAGGCCTGTGATTCTTAAAGCCCTTGAGGTGGTAAAAGAAATTAGGGCATTTCGTTACTGTGAATGAAGAAGGTAGGCACACAGGTGCCTGTCCCTTTTTATACTGTGCGCCTAACCTTAGTACATAGGAACCTTAGTACATAGGAACCAAAATTCCATGAATTCTATGGTCCTCACCCTCTCAGCAACATCTCAGGACCGAGGGTGTCAAACTTCTTGCAGATCCAGCAATATTAGCCTGGACATTTGTCCTCGTCAATGAGTAAACATGTTGTGGACTGTGCCTTTAAGATGCAATACATTCATATTTGTTGGAGCCTCTTCAGTTATGTCTCTGTGTTAGCTGCCTCTGTGTCTGATAAAGCGCAAGATACCAAACCAATTACCAGTTCTTTGTCTGAATCCTGACTGGGAGGGGCCTGAGATACTGGCAGAGGTCGGGGACTACTGGACGGGGTTTGTTGCCCATTTCTCATCTGTCTTGCCCAGGAAAGGAAGGTTAGAGGCAAGTTGTTAACAGGTAGCATTTTTTCACTGGCAGTTACTGACTATTTTAGGGCAAGAAGCAGCCTTCATAAAGAACTTCAAATCTTTAGTACACTGCACTGCATTTTAGGGTGGGGCCAGTACAGCTGTTGAAGACAAATCTCATTTAGCTAGTCTGACAGGATTAGAGTTGATTTTCTTCTCAGACATATGGAGTTAACCAATGATAATAGGGTCCCTCCCAACTGAGATATTTTAGGGAATGACTCTTCATTTGCTGGTACAGAGAGGAGGGAGGAAGCAGATCAGCAGGTTTTTCCCTCCTCTTGATTATGCCTCTAACTTTACATCCTCTCACAAGTACTGTCTGTATAATTGACACATGAAACCGATCTGTTTTTCTTTTCAGTGTGTTGTCTAATGATTAAAGCAGGAGGCTGAGAGCCAGGACTCCTGGGTTCTCTTCCCTGACTTGCTGTGACTTAGGCCAGTCACATGTCCTGCCTGTCACTCAGTATGACCCTGATCCAAAGCCCATTGAAATCAATGGGAAGACTCCCATTAACTCCAGTGGTCTTTGGATCAGGCCCTCTATAAAATGGAGATCTAATAATCCCTACCTCACAGGAGTATTGTGCGATGTAATAACTTTAAAGAGTTGGAATTCCTATTACTATTTGTCATCTTGTCTATCCTCCCCCCTTCTGTGTGTAGCAATGAAGATTTTAATATGTTTTTGTTCAGTCGCGATGACTAAATAACAAAGACATTTTTGCCACTGGCACTCTCTGCAGTGGTTAGTCATCTGGATAGCAGTGCAGTGGTTCAGGGCAGCTGTAAGCATTCCTGCCATGCCACCTGCTTTTCTTGGATTAAAGCTGGAAAGGAAACTTAGGCAGTGCAATGAAACACAGTGCATAAATAATATTTCATACGTTGCTTGTATGTATAGTAGCTGCTTTCCTTCCAAGAACTGCAAAGCACTTAATATAATGAATTAAGCCTCATTATATCCATGCAGGGTGGTAGGGATTACTGTGCGCATTTTACATTGCGGGGGCAAAGGAGGTAGGAAAGAGAGAGTTTAAATGACTTCCTCTAGGTCACACAATAGGTTAGTTGTCGAGCCAGGAAGAGCACTTGGGAGTCCTTACTCCCAGTCCCTGTCATTTAAACCCTTGGCAATGTTCCTTCCTTAAAGATATTCTGTAGAACTTCTCTATGATGCGCAATAAGAACCAGCATCTGTAGGTCTTGTCGCATTGAGTTGCCGTTTGTGAATACGTTATTTTATTTGCCCGTGGGGTTCCCTGAAGTGAGTCAGCTGTCAGTAGAGCGATCAGTCAGGTCTGCCATTTTATCCACATTTTCTTCATTTGCTGGCCTTTGGTACTTCTTACTTAGTGCTCTCATTACTACCTTTGCTAAACCAGTACCTTGGGCTTGATCTAGCCATAGGGAGGACTGTAACGGGGTGGCCTGCCCCTTTAATGGCCTGTGGCTAACCAGCCACATTCAATCAGCCCTGCCTGTGCCATAATTAGCAGCCTCCCATCCTAAAGGGGCAGCACTAATTGGGGTCAGGTGGCAGCCTGAAACACCTGGACCTCATAAAAGGGTTGAAAGAGAAACCCCAGGAAGCAAGCTGGGTTCATGAAGTGACTGGAACTCAGTGCTGTATCCCGGAGCAGAGAGACTGAAAGCTGGGAGCTCAGTTCATCGGAAGGGCTGAAGGGAAGCCCAAGCAGGGTGGAAGAACTTGTGTGACCCTGGAAGGAGATTGAACTCTGAAAGTGACCCAGCTGGAGGGAAGAGCCACATGAATCCCTGGGAGAGGCAGAAAACCCAGGGGAGGGGGCACTGAGGTAGGGAATGCCTGCCGACCCTCGCTCAGCCAGCCGGGGATGCTACAGGGCAGCTATGCCCTGTGACAGAGACCTTCTGCATATAGGTCTTCTCTCCACCATGTGGAAGGGAGAGGCTTAGCTTACCTTCCCAGTACCTCCTTGCCCCTCTCCAGACCCCACACAGCCTGTGCAGGGAGAGGAGGGCGGAAAGTGAGCAGGCCAAGGGGAGGAGTGGGTGGAGGCAGGGAAAATGCTCAGAGAGAGTCCCTGGAGCGGGGGTGGGAGGACATAGCCTGGGGCAGTATTGTCTTTTTGCAGGACTTTCCTTTGGGAGATCTGAGGGGGACCAGGACCTGGGAGAGTCCCCCATATTGTGGCACGATGGAGCCAGAATGCCAGGGTGAGAGGTGGGGGTGGAACTCTTGTGGGGTCAGGTTTCCTGGGGATGTCTGAGGCAAGGCCTGTGGTCTCTCCCAGGAGTGGAAGGGTTAGTATGGTGGGATATCTGTGAAAGGATGGGATTTAGAGTGGGAAGGGATGATCTAGCCCTTTTTATTAGCCAGGTTTCATGCAGTTTTTACACTAAGCCACTCATATTGCCAACAGTGAGGAAAGCGATTTCTTTGTTGCTCAAATGTTACCATACATTTAGTGCTTAACCCATTATTATGAATTTAACAATGATTAGACCAGCAATAAAATATAATTTTGTAAGGACTTGCCTTAAACTTTGTCTTCCAGTATCTTCAGATCTAATTCTTTCAGTCTATGGTCCATTATGAAATCAGGCCCTAGCCAGGGAAAATGGCCACCCTACTGAGAGGGTAATAGCTAGGGTGACCAGATAGCAAGTGTGAAAAATCGGGACGGGGGTGGGGGGGGGAACAGAAGTCTATATAAGAAAAAGACCCAAATATTGGGACTGTCCCTATAAAATTGGGACATCTGGTCACCCTAGAAATAGCTCTGGACGTTGCACAGAGAAAATGAAACACTGACCAGTATTTCTAAATAGTGCCTGAAAAATTAGTTCGGAGAGGCAGTGTGGTCCAGTGGATAGGATACTGGATGGCTCCTCTAGAGACCTGCAGGTCACTTCACCTATGTTTCCTCTTTCACCCTTTGCTTAATAGAGCCCTTCTTGGCAGGGTCTATCACCGTTTGTCTGTACAGTGCCTAGCACAATGGGGCCCGATCTCTGTTTGACGCTAGAGGCTGCTGTAATACAGTTGTTAATTTACTTAGTTGACTCATATTTTAATTGCTGGCATTTTTCTTTCTTAAATATAGAGTCACAAATGTCTTATTCAGTGAGAGCATAAATAAGGGGTAAGATTCTCTCTCAACAGGTGTCATGCCAACCCACCCAAAAGACAGTTTGGCCCAAGTCCTCAGCTTTGGGTGAGGAGTGCACACAGCAATTCAGAAGGGAGGAAAGATGTGCAAAGGTGGCTTGAAACCACCTCTGCTCCCCCAATCCTAGATCTGCAGTTCCCTGGCATGAGTCAGTGCAGCAGAAGGCAGCAGAAGGCAGAGCTGCTCTGACTTGACTGGCTGCCAACAGTCCAAGCGGATGAAGCCCAGAAAAGCCCTGGCCACCCCCTCTACATTGGCAACCAGGAAGGGTGGTGTCCTCGGAGCTACAACACAGGCTTCACACCACAACTGGGTCACCCTATGCTCATATGTTCCTCCCATTACAGCTGGCTGTGCCCCTTCTAGATGTGCTTTACTTTGCACCAGAATAAAGTAGCTGCCTCACAAGGCTTCTGAATCTCCTTATAACCTTCAACTGGACTAAATGACTGTTTAACATTGAAGAGCCTTTTCCTTTAGTAGCTGTAACCGACTGAGGTATTTGTTTTGTTTCAGACTCTGGAAATCTGATCTAAGCTATCCTGTGACTGACAACTTTACAGCTATACCAAGAGGTGGGTTTTCTGTTTGTGTTGGTCTAAGATTCCCTCATTCCAGAGTTTGGACAACACTGTGCATCCCTGATTTTACTATGTCTGGTCAACTAGCCAATTCCTATGGACTCCCAAACAAAATGAAGATTGTTTCTCATCGAGTTCTGTGTGCGTGTGCTCACGTGTATTTTGGTGGTTTTTTAAATGAAATAATGAGCACATTTACTCAGCCTTACAGTGGATGGGTTTCTGAAACCGAAGAAACTCTAATGAAAACAAAAATGCACAGTGAATTTGCCAACTTCTTTGTACAGATGTTTCTGTTTTCAATAGAAATTGTCTTACAGACAGTGTCAGTTAACATATCCAAGAGCCAGGCCTACTGAGCACAAGTACTGTAAACTGAATCGACAACAGAGCATTTTTCGATTCTCAAATATCACGTTTTGGCGGAGCAGCTGCCAAGAACATTTACCGCAAAATGAACTGATAGACAGTCTATCAGTTACAACACGGAATTCATTGTCTGAGGTTTCTTTTCTCTGTTTTGCCCAAACGTTTTATTGGGGATGTTTATAGAATACACTAATGCATCCCAACCGCAGATGCAACCAGAAATGTTAGTTTGTGGAACTTAATGGAGCATCCTATCATTATCTACTAAGAAAAAGATTATATAACAAGGGTGTAGACAGTTCTTCACTGGGGGAGGGGCTGGAGTTAAAAAATAATAAAACAGCTGCTGAATGTTGTTTTTACACTATCTAATTATTGTCGCAGGGACAATCCCCTGATAACTCCCAGTTTGCTCTTTTCAGTCTATGAGAGGTACCACCCTCTGATGGTCTCGATTGTTTGAAGTCTCTCTCTTTCCCCCAGGGTGTCAGCTGGCTGTTGTAGCCAGGGCCAGGCCGAAGGTCTCTCCTGGACCAGGGTCTAGCTCTTTCTTCCCTGGCTGGGATATGGCTCAGCAAACAGTGTCTCCTCTCCTTGGGAAGGGGTATTCTGTGTACCTGGGTGAGGTTCACTGGCTGTGCTTCTCCCATTATTTCTGCAGCCAAGCTAGCTGTTTCCCTTCTTATCGCATGATCCTCTTTGTGTGTGTGAGTGAGAGAGAGAGAGAGAGAGATCCCTCTCTAGGGAGACCTGGATAGGTCCAGCCAGCTGCCACTCCTGTGGGGCTGACTCCCAGAGCCTCTTGATTGGCTTCTCTCTTTGTGGGGAAAAAAGCTCATGGAACTCGTGGGACTTGGGAGGCCAGGCATCAGGGAGCCCCCAGGATTCTTTGCTGTCCTTTTGCATCAGTCCCATCATGCCTGGGAGTCAAAGAGCCTCCAGCTGCCATCTTATTTGTAGTCATTGCCTTGTCAGCATCTCTGGGTGAGAAAGGAACCCAGGTGGTGAAATAAGCAAAACATAAAAGCAGTTGTTTTCCAGTGTAATCAGCCGATCAGCTGTGAGGTGTTTCCTTTCTTCAGTCTGCTACGTTCTAGGCTGTCCTACAAAGAACACAGTGACTATAGAAAACCAAGAGGCCAGCTAAATGCTCCAGTTTGCCCAAGGATTGTGTGTTTTTAATTCTGAAATCCTATGCCATTCTTACTAAGTGAGGAGTGACTGAGTGAAGTACAAACAACATGTACTGTATGTGTTTTCCAGGTGATAAAATGAAATCTTTTAATGCTTTAAAAATACAGTAGAACCTTATTTATCCAAACCTCCATTATCCGGCCCTCTGTATTAACCTAACCGGGCAGCAGGGCTTGGGCTGTCAGTCCCGGGTGACGGGGCTGACAGTTGGAGCCCGGCCTCCTGGGGCTGACTGCCAGAGCCCTGCTAATTCTCCTGATTATCCGAATTTTTGATTCTGATCTTTCCCTCGTCCCAATTATATTGGATACATGGATTCCACTGAATTGGGGAGGAGGGGCAGATAAAATTCCCCCAAGCCATAGTTGTCCATGCCCATGTATAAGTTCAGACTGCTATTGGCCCTGATTCTGATGCCACTAAGTCAATGGCAAAACTCTGCAAGACTTCAATAGGAGAGTAAGCAGGCATCATTTTTTTTCTTTGTTAGCAGCTCTTTGTTGACTTGAACATGTGCAGTTAAAACGAGTACTGAACATTAGTCACTGCATGGCAAAGGGGCACTTACCTGGCTTTGTAGATGTGCACTGTGGGCCAGGTCCTCAGAAGCTGTAAGTCAGTCTAACACCAGTGATTTTAATTTTAAAAGTACACTGTTGAAGCCAGTCGGAGTTTTGCCTTTTACTTTGTGTGAGCAGGTTTGAGCACTGAGGTCCAGATTTTTAAGGGTACTTCGGCGTTGCTATCCTGAATGCAGCAACAGCTAAATACCCTTAGAAATCTGTGCCTAAATCCTGGAGAATATGTATTGAATGTGCTGCCTGCTATTAATAAAACCTAATCACAAATAACAATACGTTTTAGTTGACATATCTGATCAATTCATTCACACATTTTGCCATACTATAACTTATATTACAGTAAGACCTAAAAGTCACAACTAACATGGGGTGGGGTGGGGTGGGGAGGGATTTTGCTAGATGCTGCATACACATGTAATATGAGATAATCCTTAGCCCAAAGATCAAAGCTAAGCCTGGCTTCCTTAGGAAACAGTGCATTTGAAATTGGTTTTGCAGACTTTTAATTCTACCTCTGTAGAACTTAATAGAAAGAAATGAAAAAACTTGAACATTTCCAGAAACCCTTCTGTTTACTCTGAGCCAGATTTTTCAGAAGTGCTTGGCTCCCACAGGTGGGGCAAGATTTTCAAAAGTACTTGGGTCACATTTAAGCATTTAAATGAAGAGCCAAGATTTTCCAAATTTAGAGGAATGTGTGCAGAACATTTCTGAGTACCTGGGTGTGGATTATCTTCTTTAGCCCCTTCCATTCCATTTAATGTCTTCACATGTCCATGCACGTACGCACATGGGGCTATGACTTTTGAAGGTGCATTTGCTAACTTGAATGATGCAGTAAAGATACGGCAATGGCTTATGACCAGTGTACATGGAACCACACAGATGCTGCTTCACTGAAGTTAGAACAGGTTAATGAGACGTTAAGTGACCTTCTGAGGATGGACAGTGCTTCCCAAAAATGATTTCAGAAGAATGTTAATTCCGTTCTTTAACATCTGCTATTAAACGACTCACACCGTCCATTTAGCTACAGTATAGACTGTGCTTGATCTGATAATATCCAGAAACAGTTGACCATGTGGAGAAGTTTTATTCTCTTCTGTGCACAGAGGGAAGAGAAATTACTTCTTAATTAAATGTAGTAATCAATTATCTGAATTGCATTTTAGTAAACCAGACTTATAGCAATTTCCATCTATTTGCCAAGGGAAGACACAGCGCAAGACCCAATGAAGATTTTTCAGTTGAAATTTTATTAGTTGCCCAACTTTTCTCTTTCACCAATATTATCTTCTTTCTCCTCTCCTCCCCTCCCCCACAAATCCAGGCCATGTTCAGATCCAGCTGTTTCCATCTCCACAATACATACAAAACTTCACCTGTCCCCTTCTGTCTTGACTGATAAATCATCTCTCCCGGCCCTGATTGCCTCCCACCTGCATTACTGCAGCCTCCCTGATACCCATATTGCTCCTTCCTGCCAATCTAAAATCCAGCTACAAAAATTATCTTCTTTTTCTGTTAATCTGACCTTGTCTCACCACTTTGTGAATACCTATGCTGGCTCCCTCTTGCCCAGCCCATTGAGGTTACATTTCTTGTCTGGCCTTCAAGGCGCTACACAAATTCTCTCTCATCTGCATATCCAAACTCATATCACTGCATTTTCCTCACCCCTCCACTCCACCAGCAATGTCGATTTCAATGCTGCAGCTTCCACACCTTTTTCTATGCAGCCCCTTTGCATGGAACATCCTCCCCACCCAGTTCACCAAGCCATCCAGGTCCCTCCTAAAGACTCCCTGTAAGGTTGATTGAAAATTTTCAATAGGGAAAACGTTTGGTTTGTCTATGAAAACCTGAAACATTTTCACAAATACTCAACTTTTTCTGTTAAAACTTCCGTGTCAAACCGCCAGATAACTGAAAACTTGTAAGGTCCGTTTTAAGCTTAACTTTTTTTTTGGTTTGGTGTTTTTCTTAGAAAATTGTCATTGAAAAAACTTCTTTGTATCAACATTTCTCAGTGAGGAGAGGGAGAATAAGCATTTCCTGACCATCTCTAACTCCTTATAACTTCCACAAGGCACAAGCCAAAAATAACGATAAGATTTTTTTAAAAAGCACAAAAGGCATTTAAGTAGGTGAAAGTCCTATTGATGGTCAATGGGGGGCTGGGCACTAAAGTCCCATTTGTTCCTTCCTCTAAAAATGATACACAACCTCTGTTCTCAGGGCATCCCATCTTTTCTGCTTCTGTCTTTCGAGATTTCAAGCTCTTCAGGTCAGGGACTGTGACTATTTTATCTGGCTCCCAGACTATTGGCAGAGCTTAGCAAATAACTAGAATTTGCTCTGTTTCCTAGACTGCCGAGCTGTCATCCCACTGCAGAATAGTAGTTCACCACTGTCACTTTTCTCAGGTAATATAGTGCCAACAAAATTAATCCCTGGTGTGATTTCATTGGTTTAAACAGAAGCAATACACCTTCTCTTACTGTTTTGTTTTTAATGGTGATGTCTGTATTTTCTATGTCAATACGCAGCAATAATTTAAAACAGTGGTTTTCTTACAAACAGTGGTTCAGATTGTGCTCTGTCTGCTCTTTTGTCTTTCAGTGAAATGGGTATTCTGTTTATTTCTGTGTTTTTGTTTTTGTTTTAAATTATAAGGATCCAGGAATTAACAGTTTAGTTATTTTTAGAGGCATTTGTTCACATATAAGTGTGAGGTCTTCCGAGATGTCTCTGATAGGTTCTCTTTAATGCCTTAGAGAAATTAAAGGCTTTCTCAAAATACACATGGCATATGAGAAACAGAAAGGAAAAATATACACACTCGGTAAA